TCGGAAATTCAAAATTTAAAACGGTTAAAAATGGCTCCAATTTTTTCCTACCGATTTCCGACCGCGTGAATTTCCGACCGCGTGAATTTCTGACCGTTTTCCGACCGAATTTTCCAACGGATTTCCTACCGATTGATTTTCCCACGGATTTCCGACCGATCTTGCAACCGTATTGCGACGGGAATTTTTCCGTCGGAAATTTCCAACCGATTTTGGACCGAAATTTTCCGGTCGAAAATCGGTCGGAAATCCGTCGGAATTCGGTCGGTAATTTCTGACCGATTGTTGTCCGTCGGAAATTCGGTCGGAAATAGACCTGTTTTCTTGTAGTGTTTGCTTGCGAGGACTTCATGTACTAGGAGTACAATTTCTTCTTTTATCGCTTATGTTTCTTATTACTTTCATGATACAGACAATGTATTTATTTAATCGATAACGAAGTGCGTGACAAAAAATAAAATAATTGAGTTCATGTTGTATCTATCTTTTATCATTACAATTCACATACGCACACGGATTTGAATTTGGAATATATATGATACAATGACCACACTAAATATGATTCATTAATTTATAAATCAGGGTTCCATATAAATTTAGGATTTCGAAAGGTGGTGAGTCCATGTTTTATTAAAGAGGAAGAGAGAGTAAGCCTTGCAAGCGAGATTCGAAGCAACAATATTGCTTGTATAGTATTTTCCTATTTCCGCAATTTAAAGCATTGACACATCTAAAAAGACATCGACAAATAGAGACTATAAATATCTAATGCCAATTTGAAACAAGAAATAGAGAGCTCATTAATATTACTAAGATGAGATTCTTCTATGTCATCGTATTCGTTACCATGTATATACCGAAATCAAGCTCCGTTGATTTCAAATATTTGTCTGCTTTTAATTTTGGAGATGCAAATTCCGATACCGGTGATCTCGTTGCTGGCCTTGGCATTCGTCCTGACCTTCCTAACGGACAAAATTACTTTAAAACTTCTTCCCAAAGATTCTGCGATGGACGACTTGTCATAGATTTTCTGAGTAAGATTTTTTTTCAGTTTATTGTCTTCTTTTACAAAACTCTTCAACTTTTTTTTTTGTTTTATATACAATCGGTAACACTGGTTGTTCGGAAACGCTTCATTTATAATAAGTAGATTACATGTTGAGTTTGCATATTCATGCTACGCATGTTGTACCAAAACTATAAGTAGCCTTACTGGATATTGAAATCTAGATAGAGCCGACCGGAAAGAGAAAAAGAAAAGAAAAAAGTTAGATAGAACTTTTCGATCCTATGCTAATAAAAAATAAAATGTTTCTGTTTTTCATGCGCTTTTTATTGTGTTGTGTTTATTTTACCTTTACATTTAACTCAACCATAATATCTAATATGTTACTTCCATATGTTATAGAAATTATTAACTTTATGTAAAGATATTTTAGACAAGCAAAAATAAATTGAACGAAGAAAATATATAATATAAGGTTGCTTAAAGATTGCTTCTTGGTTGCTTCGTGAGGAAATTTTGTCGAGATGAAATGTTTTATTTATAGGGATAATTGTTCTGTTTTACGTTCGTATTTACGATTTGCTAATGTTGTTTAATCGAACCATTGTTTTGATTAAAAGTATCTTCTAACATGGTTGTTCTAGAAACTTATATTTAGCTGTCGATTGTATAATATATCCAAATTATTCTTAAATAAATAAAAAAAACAGAAATCAAGACATATAACGGTTTGTTGTATTACTCACCATTTTATAATCGCATAGGTGTGAGTTGTTGAGAAAACAATATTATAGAAAACCACCAAATACATAAATCATTTATATCGCTTGCTTGTACTATAATACCGTTTCTTGTAATAGCACGTATAAAAATATATATTTTTGGTCAAATATACATATTTTAGTACAATTAATTTAATTATATACAGTTTTAGAGTGGGAAAATTCCATCAAAATACTCCAACTGAATTCCGATAAGTTTTTTATATCCCAACTTCTTAGTTACCTAGTTTAATACCCCAACTAATTATTTTATCTAATTTAATACATCAACTTTCAAACGGTGCCCATTTACCTACCTCGATTTAACGGAAATATAACATCCGTTATC